GGATTTTCACTGACGGGATGGCTTGCTAGTCTACTTCAGAATCTTATTGTAGGAACAGTCGTATTGATAATTCTCTGTATTGTGTTTAGTTTTGTTAAAACAGTTAACTGTGAAGGCCACTACAGGAACATACGTGACGGTAATAAAAAGAGATGAGACTTAGGAGGCCAGATATCCGCCTTAGGAGTCTGAAAGGAGGGAATTGTGGAAAATCCAAACCCTGAAAATTCAGAAGAAGGTAATGAATAACCATGAGGAAAATTAAGTATTGTAAACGGCAGATGAGCTTTGCTAACTAAGCAGAACAAGAAGCCGACCAAAGAGGAACTAAGTAACAGGATATGGGAGAGAACCAAAGGAGATGTGCCACCCCAAAGAACAAAGGGAAATTTGAAGGCCAAATTGTCACCTTTTATGGAAGGGGAACCTAAAGCTCAACCAGTGGGCACCATAGGAGGACCACTAGAGGCTGCTGGAGACCCTCTGAAGACCCCTTCCTCATGGAATGTATGCTTGCACAGGAGGGAAATGTGTATGATGATTAGTTCCTGGAATGATAACGAATAGGTGTGATCATTCTAAGAAATGTGATGACTGTGTATGATAAGCAGAGCATAAATGTATAGCTAGGATAGAGGTTGGGTGGACACATTAGGAGGAGATGTCCCCCGTGTCCTCAGATGTTAATAAAGCAGCAGTGTCTTTGTAACACATCCAGTGTTGGGGGGATTCATTCCGATAACAGAATTGGAAATTTCTTGTTATTGGAGATGATCTTAAGAAACAAAGGGTGTTGGGCACAGATTCTGATGTAGGTGTTTAGATGTGTCAGCAAGGGTGATGCTTTCCTGAATCTGCTTCTCATAAGGAATCACAGGATGTGGTAACCATTAACAGCCATAGAACAGTGGAGTTCAAGTCCCTGGGTGTAGTGAGGAAGGCGAGTACAGAACCTGGACTCCAGTATATTCAGGCAACAGGTAGCTGAGATTTTGAGGGAGGCAAACTTTGAAAAGTTGGAGGAGCTGAAGAGGTAGAGGTCTGTAAGGACATTGTACAAGCACAGGGACGTTCTATCTTGATACTTGTGTAAACAAATGAATTGTGTTGAAGGATGGTCATTAGCTATGCCTCTGCTAGGAGTGGGGTAGTGTTATAGGCAGGAGGTAGAAGCAAGGATAGGCTATAAAGGAGAAGCATAAAAAAAACATTGTCTGGACATGTAGGTATGGTGCTAGGAAAGCCAAAATTCTACTGCTGAAATTTAGCAAGTAACATCAGGGGTGACAAGAACTTTTACTGTGATGTTAATGGTAAAGGGGAAGGGAGGAGTGTGAACCTGCTGTTAAACTGGGCAGATGATTTAGGAAGAACAGACATGGATAAGGCTGAGGTACTCTGCCTTCTTGCATGAGTCTTCAGAACTGATATCCCCTAGGCTTCGGGTCTAAGAGACAGGATTCAAGGAGAGGACCAACAGCAATGGAAAAGTGTCACGGTAGAAGTCTCTTGTACCGGTTGAGATTTCTGAAGTCCGTAGGACCCGCTTGGGGTACATGCTGAGAGAGCTGGCTGATGTCATTGTGAAGTTGTTCTCTTACTTTTGAGAGGTTGTGGAGGTCAGCTACAAGTTAGTCAGCCTCACTTCAGTCCCTTGGAAAATAATGAAGCATGTTCTCTTGGAAGCTGTACCTAGGCATGTAAAGGAGAGGGCATTTGGGAATAGCCAACATGACTGTACTTGCAAACTGATTACCTTTGGTGATGAAATGACTAGATCTGTAGATCCAAAGCCTCGGATGTCATTTACACTTGCTTTAGCAGGACTTTTGAAACAGTCTCCTCCAGCATCCTCCTCTTTGAGTTGGGATGTTGCAGATTGTAAACTACTAGATTAGTAAAAAAACCCACAACTGGCTGGATTGTCAGGCCTCAGGAGAGGTTAGCGGTTCATACTTTGCCTGAAAGTGGATTACAAGTAGAGTTCCTCAGGGCTCTATTCTGGGACCTGTCCTGTTGGTAACAGGGGGATGTGAGATGCACCTTCATGATGCTTAGGGGTGGGGAAAGTGGTTTAGACAGCTAGGAATAGTCTGGAGGACTGGCCTTAGATGTCTCAAACTTCAACCAAGGCAGCTGACAGTCAAATTTGAGGTCTTGCCCCAGGCCTGTACCTGCTGTGGCATCAGCTGGGAGCTGAGTGGCTGGGACCCCCCTGCTGAAAGGCCATGGTGGACAGTGTGCGAAGCACGTGCCAATGCTGTGCCCTGGCATGGAGGCATATGAGGCAGGATCATAGCCAATGAATTGAGGCAAGTGATGATTCTTCTCTGTTTGGCACCTATTAGGCTGCTCATGGAATGCTGTGTCCCTTCCAGGCCCACTAGTACAGGAAAGCTGTTGATAACGCTGTAAACTATTAAGCCGCAGCAGCACTTCAGTGCTTGCAGGACGTTAACAAAAGGCTGGCACCAGACACTTCACAGCTCTGCATGGTGGGAGGCTGAAAGGAAATAGCCATGAATTTAAACAAAAGAAGCAAGAGAGGTTGCAACTTGATGTAAAGTGAAACTCTTCCACTGTGAGCACGGGCAAGCAGTGGAATGGGATGCCCAGAAAAGTGTAGCCTCCACCCCTTGAAGTTTTCCAGAACCAATGTGGATAAAGCCTTGAGATACTGGCTGTTCCTGTTTGGAGTTGGAGCTTGGACCAGAGACCTTCCCAGGTCTCTTCCAACTGGAATGAGTCTGAATTTGAAAATACCCCTTTTGTTAAATTGGGGTGAGGGGCGGAATGACCTACCTCCTCAGGCTCATCCAGTTGCTTTCCTGAGCAGACTCCGCTGCCAGTCTGTAAGTCTGCTACAAAATGATGGTAATGCTGTATAATAGTCCTATATCTTCTGTATGTCGGCTGTTACACAGAGCAGCTGAAGCTTGTCTTTGCAAGGTTTACACAGGCATTGTGTTGTGGCTGTTGCCCAGGCATTAGGGAGATTGGTGGTGTTTCCTGCTTTCTAAGGCAGAGGTGTGTTGAGATTAAGGGCTGAAAATTCTGACAGGAATTAATGAGCATGTATCCCCTCTGTCTAGTGACGTTCCTTCACTGTTGAGTTGTCAGCAGTCTGATGGCTGTAGGACCTAGAGTTGATTTGGGGGTTTCTTCTGGAGAAGCTTCTGGTGTGGATATCATTTTATATCAGTTGTTTGTTTGTTTGTTTTCCCCCAGCCACCAATGACCAATCAGAATGTGGATGATGGCACAGGGTTTGTGAGAAGTAAGTTGCTGTGGTCCATGTCTGAAGATTATTTTTGAAGTATTGCATGATTGTTTACAATGCTGAGTGCATGCTGTAAGCAAGCGATAAATTGTTAAGTATCTAATATAGGCAGAAAAGGAGGAATGCGGCACATTAAATGAAATAACAGGTATGAAGCAACACGTTCTTCATAGTTCTCCTCTTGCAAGTATACTTTCCCACTGCTGTAAAGAAAATAACTGAAGGGAAAAGCGAGTTAGAGGAAACTGGAACATTGTGCTGGCGAATTTTGGTTTTCAACTGGTATGAACAGACGTAAATACAAGTCTGAGTGAATTTGTGTTGTTTTGGGGGATGTTTTTTCTCACCAATTGAATAGTCTCACACATCTCACATCAACACAGTCTGAAATTGAGTTGTTGAACCTGTCGCTTCATGTTAAGAGTGCACAATCCTGCAGTCATGGAATGGGTGTGACTTTCAAAGAGTAAAAGCGCGTGTCTTGTTCATCCTAAGAAAAACACTGAAGTTGGAACTAGAGCACTTCCTTGGGAAGTTTCCTTACATGTGCACTCGTGCACAAACACGCATGTTCTCCTGAAGCATTAGGCTGGAATATTGCTCAGTGACACAGCTTGATCCAATATGCAATACCTGGTTTGCTTTGCAGGAGAAAAGACAAGTAGGATTTGACAGTCTTTCGTTGACTCTAGTATCACATGAGTGTGTGTGTATCATGTCATTCTTGTGCTTCAAAAGTATATACTTTTTTACACTTGATGCATACGTAAATAAGAATCTAAAGTTAAACAAGCTGTCAGTCAGTAACTTTTCTGCTGTTCCTGCAAATGTGGTGGTAATGGATACTTGTAGCACAGTGGTGTCCTAGATCTTTGTTCCATTAGTAAGTTAAACAATGGCATCACCCATTCTTTTGCCCAAATAGGGCAACCAGAATTTGTCCATATATTAAGTTAGATATCGGGTTAGATATCAGGAAGAAATTCTTCATGGAGAGGGTGGTGAGGCACTGGAACAGGTTGCCCAGAGAAGCTGTGGATGCCCCATCCCTGGCAGTGTTCAAGGCCAGGCTGGATGAGGCTTTGAGCAACCTGGTCTAGTGGACGGTGTCCCTGCCCATGGCAGGGGGGTTGGAACTAGATGGTCTTTAAGGTCCCTTCCAACCCAAACCATTCTGTGATTCTGTAAGTTCTCAGACACAGAAGTAGATTGGTCACATTCAGGCCGAACAGTCCCTGAAACCAGACTAACTCCTGAACCATGCCTGAATGTTATCTGGGAGATCTCGCTGGTTAATCTGGGCCAAAAGGGTGTCAAAAAGCATGTTAACAGTGTCACAGAGCAGATGATAAAGCTGCATTTCTTTGGCAGTGCCCTGGCACTGTAGTTAACTGAAGGTCTCACTGGTGTTCATTCAGCAGCCTGAGCTCCTGCAGAACGTACAGCTGCGTCCCGGCAGCCTGAAGCTGTGGACATTGAAACATGAAGGTGCATGCTGTGCTGTTAAGATACAGTCATTGCAAACAAACGAAGGTGTATGTAGTTAATAGGCTCTGCATGATGCCATTGCAATGTCAGCATTAGTAATGACAGTGTTTTCAGACTTTTATCTTCATTGCTACTTCATCACTATTTTTTGATCAAACCCACTTCATACTGATGTAGTATTTTACCCTAAATATTCTATCAAAAATTTACAGAAAACCCGAAAGCCAGAAGGCCTCGATTTGATGGATCCTTGGCCTATTTGACCCGAAGATTCATGAATCTTGTCAGAGCAGCTCCAGACGGTGTCCTTGATTTAAATGAAGTAGCGACAATGCTTGGAGTACGAAAACGAAGAGTGTATGACATCACCAATGTGTTGGATGGAATCCAGTTGATTCAGAAAAGATCTAGGAATCTTATCCAGTGGGTGTGAGTTGGCTTCAAAACTTCTAATTTCTGAAACAATAAAACCCAACAATGTTGAGTAACGTTTATAACTTTGGGAATACTCTTAAGCATACTGAGTTACTTTTAACAGATAAATATATCTTAAGTTCTTCTGTATCCTTAGGCTGTCTGAATTACTTTGTTAACAAGTATTGAGTGCAAAAAGCACAATGAAGCGTATTTCAGCAAAGGATGCCAGAGTTCCTGGTTGTTTTCTCTTGGTGTACTGTGTTCAATAAACAGGCTTTTATTTATAGAAACATACTAGACAACTTTCATATTCTTCTAGAGGTTATAATGTTGACCAAGTTATCGGAAAAGCACCACAGCAGCAAAACCTTAAAGACGAACTTTCTAACTTGTCAGCCGTGGAAGAAGCTCTGGATGAATTAATCAAGGATTGTGATCGTCAGTTATTTGAACTAACAGATGACCAAAAAAATGCAAAATATCCTTTTAACTCTTGTGTTAGTGTAAGGTGTGGTTTTGGTTGCAAGTACGCGGGTGTCTAGCGATAGGTGTGGGCTGATGCCACAGGTATGCAGTAATACTTGATAGCAAGTTCTAGAATAGGAAACTTACTGGTTATTTTCTATTCACGGGTACTAGTCGTGCACCCTGCTTTGCAACATCGTGCACAGTCTAGCCTGCTCTCAGGAGAGCGTTGGTTGTGTGACCATTGCTCTCCATTCTCTCACTGCAGGAGAATGGAAGTGGTGCGATAGTCGTACCCTGACCATCACCTTGTTATCTCCGTTATAGAGAAAAGGTGTCTCAGGGGCAGGTCTTGACGTACCACTGAGACTGAGCTGCTTAGTGAGATGAGAAAGGAACCGCAACAGAATCCCAGTGGCCTGTTGCCAAGAAGATAGGATGGTATGTTGGTTGTGTCATAACGCTGTTCTGTCTCTTGAGAGAAGTTCCAGTGCAGTCTTGGCTTTCAGATGGGTTTTGATAACAGAAGTGGGATGTCTTAATAGGACATAAACATTGGATTTTGGCTTTCAGTTACACAGAAGTACTACTTAGCTCCCTTGTCTGGCAGAATGTTAAAGTCTGTGCTGAAATGAAATGCATCCACTTCAGGAGAAATTTCCAATGCACCTTCCCTGTTCTGATTAAGAAAATAATTCCATGGTTTTCCAGGAAATTGTTTACATGCATGGTTATTGCAAAACAAAGGAGTTTCTCAAGGGCAGTAATCCCTCTGCTCCATAGATTTATGATAGTATCTGTGAAAACTCTTTCTCAAATTTGTTTGGTTTTTAATATTGAATATATTGATTTTTTTAAAGCTTCTTCCTTCCTATAAATAAAGAAAAAGGGTTTTCCACTTGTTAGTTAATACTTAATTTTACAAAGCTAGTATTAACATAACCTCAGCTAAACTCTTTACCACTTTTCTTCAGTTGGTATTCTGCTTCACCGTATCGTAACGTCACACCCTCTGCTTCTGCCAATTACTGTACAGAATCCTTGACCAATGTATACCCTAGCTTATGTGACATACCAAGATATCCATAGCATTCAGGCATTTCAAGAACAAATTGTGATTGCAATCAAAGCTCCAGAGGGAACCAGTTTGGAAATACCAATTCCTAAAGAAGTAAGTTTAATACATTTGTGTATCTTAAGGGAACAGAAGTTCTCAGATTTTGGTTTAGCAGCAGCAGCCAGTAACTGACTTACAGTTTCTTTGTCACGTATAGCAAATATTGGTACTTTATTGTTCTTGTGTTCTAATAAACAATGCTGTAAGGATTATAGTCTAAGAAACTTATTTTCAGTGTTTCTGTTTACCTAAATTAGTAAACAATAAACATGTCTGAGCTATAGTTATTTGGTTTTGCTAGAGAGAATAGAATTGCTGGAAAAAATGTTACTTATTTCAACTATCAGTTTTTCTGATAATTACCAAGATAATGAACCTTCAAAAAAGCTGTTATTTTTTGTGTACTAAGGTGTACAGAAATTGTAAATCTAACCAAGCAAAGCAGTAAGCATGATGTGGTGATGGTCTTCACAGCATGTAAATGCTGTCTTACTGCTTACTGAATAGACAGCTGTTGTTACTATGAAGCAGGAAACAGGCAGTCTGGGTGACAACACATTTTGGCACTCCAGTAGATCACAACAAGGATGTTTTCTAGGAGGTGGGGGCCTGTGCCCTGTCCTCACCTCATGGTGCAACAGGCGTCCCCCCCATCCAGATCCTAGGGGAGAGCCGTAGCTTTGCCCTCTGCACCCAGCCACACTGCGCCTGCCCCTGAGCCTAGGTGCAGGAAAGCCACTCTTTAAAGCAGTGCTGTGAAAGAGGGCTAATACTGGAAGTAAGCTAACATAGCGTTAATTCTGTTTTCCTTCTGCGTGTGCATTTTTTTTATAGTGTTCTTCGTTGTGTAATCATCAAATTTGCTTTCCTGTGTGCACAAAAATGGAGGAGATGTCGATAGGAATGTGATAGGAAAAGGAGATAGGAATCAGCACAACCAGAAGACTTAGATCCGCTGCTTAGATCTGTAGTGGTTTCACGGGTCAAAGGAGCTGGCTCTAGTCCTGTGGAGATGAAAAAGATAAGGTTTCTGAGGCTTCCTGAAGCAGTTTCAAGAGCTGTACTTTAGAGAAGACAGAATCTTCCCTCCGTTGCCCGTTAAATTTGATTTGCTCTGTGCCTTGCAATATGATGTGTACTAAAGGAGAGCAGGGGAGGTAATACGGCGTGGTCACTTCACAATGTATTAAGGCTTACGTGCTCCGATTTGTTTTCTGTTCATTGGCACGGATTCACCAAGTTTTTAAACTTCGTTACTCCTTCTAAACGTACACTAGATCTTGGTCATATATCTGAAGATCAGTGTAAAGACTGCACAAAAATTTCCTAACTGCATATTCATCAAAAATGAAACCTGCTTATCTTAATGGTGCTTAGTAATTGGCGTACAAATCTATGTAATAGTCATAGTTTAGGTAGAACTAGTAACGTAATTTAAAATAGTTATGTTATTCCTGTATTTGTTCTCTTCTTAATCTGTTGGCTTTAAAATATGGTCAGAAAAAAAAATAACTGATGCATAAGGTTTGTTCTTTGGTTGATGTGCAAGTTGCTGTTTTATAGGACTGCATAGAAGTACATGTGAAGAGCACAAAAGGACCCATTGATGTGTATTTATGTGAGGTGGAAAAAGAGAAGCCAGGTGCCAAAACTTTTGAAGGTATGGATACTGTCACTTGTGAAACTGAGCCATCAGTTCCTCCTGATGAAGGTAGTTCCAGTTATATTTTTATGCTCATGTGGTTTTTTCTAAGACTGTCATACCATTCCAGTAAAGTTGGAAGCTGTACTGTACAGGTATGTTTTTCTGGGCATAGTGTGTGGGCTGTGTGGGAGAGTAGGAAACACCTGAGAGAAGTCTGTGCTGTTGTGTCACCTCTCAGCAGCAGGAGGTCAGAGTGTCAGGCACGTGCACTCACAGCAGGGCACTCTTCTCCCCGACCCCTTCCTTCCTTTGCTCATCGCCGGCTTCCTGTCGGAGCTGCGCTCTGCGCGTGGAGCCACGCGTGTCCGTTCTCGGCTGCTTCGGTGCGGAGTCCAGCAGCTGAGCTGGCAGGAGAGTTGAGATGCTCTTTCGGTCAAGGCTGGGCTGCTCTTGCGCAGTACTCTGCGGGAAGGGATGTGGCGTTTTGGTCTCCTAAAACAAGATTGGCTGGAATATAGTCCCTCAAGAGCCCCAGCGTTGCCGGATGTTGTGGTTTAAAAATAAATGTGGCGGGAATTGCAGTAGCTCAGAACACAAAGGATGAGTTATTTTTAGCAGTGCTGTTGAGGGGAAGAGTTGACTTTTTAACCATCTTGGGCATCTTTTTTTTTTTTCACTTTATTTTGCATGTGAAAGGACTCAGAATTGTATTTCCTACAATGACAGTAATCACACTCCTTTTTTTATTTTCCTTTGAAGTGAGATCTCCAGGGGAAGAAAAAAAACAAACCGCCTGAGATGACAGATTAATTGCCACTCAGAAATCTAATGCAGAATGTAAATACCTGTGTTATAGCTTTTCGAAAGCCGCTTGGATCTGCAGACTTACTAACTGAAATGTTCCAAAGTGCGTTAAATTTAAAACAGCCGTGGGTTGGTTGAGTGCTTTCACAGGATTGCTTATCTTCCCAAGTCAAGAGACAACAGTTCCTAGAGTTGCTTTTAGGAGCTTTGTTTTTCATCATTGCTTGTGATCCACAGAGCTTTGGGAAAATGATATTTCTAGCTTATGAAATAATTGGTGATAATTAAGTCTGAAGATGAAGATTTGAAAACTGTTTCTGGAACGATCCACAATCCTTAGGAGAACGTATATAATAAAGAAATGCACTTTCCTGTTCTGAGGCTGCACTACTGCTACGCAGGGTTGTCAGATACCCATGCGACACAGGACTGGTGTGTCAGAAGGCTTCACTGGAAGGAACAAGATGTAAATATCATGAGTTGCGCCTTACGCTGTGTGGATGCTGTTTGCGTTCTTTGCATCCAGCTCTGCATGAACTGTGGTGTAGGCACTGAAACGACTGGGCTTTTTGTACATATCTGTATCATGTCTGGGTAGTTCCCGACGTAGGTTTATCGAGACAGTTTGCATTTCTTCCTTTGTACAGCAAAGAAATAAAAGCTTATAAAACTTGTAAGTCGTCTAATGGGTCAGCCTGATGAAACATTGTTGGTTTGTCCTTGTTGGAACTCACTGGGCAACTAGAAACTAAAGGTTTTGGATCTGGTGTATGTGGTGCTGGTAGTTGCATCTGCCTCTTGTGACACCACAGTACCATAGCAGTTTTCAGAAGAATCATGATGATCGTAACTATTTCAATTGGTCCCGTCCAGGTTCTAGAGTTTACGTAGAGCACAGCTGTAGCCTAGGACCACGGTCTCTTCCCTGCTGTAGCTTGAAAGCGTATGTAAACCTCTTCAGAACTATGTCTGTATTCATCCAGCTGTGATATCTGAGAAATGGAGCTTCAGAGTTTTGATACTGGGTTTTTCAGGGTGAATTAACTGTCCCCCAACAACTGCCAGGTGTAGGCTCGTTTCACTCCAGTACTGAAGAGTACTTCATAGCTTTTGGCATGGGGTGGGGGTAGATGTGTGTGTTTGGTTGTCAGTCGAAACTCCAAGTCCTAGTTTTCCCGGTCACACAGTATCAACAACTCTCTGTCTCCTCAGAGCTGGGAACAGAAAAGCTAATAAACCCGGGTCTTTTAACCAGCAGCTCTACAGCTATTTTAGACAGATGCTGTGAAATTAAATGTCCTGTGTTCTACTAATCCACGCACAAGTAAGGTAGGGCAGTTCGTAGTTGACACTGAAGAGTTTAAATATACCTGAATACAGATTCAGGGTTAATCCCCTTTTCTGCAGCACTTAGGAGTTGTGCAAAGCACACACTATTACGCTGTGCACACTGGGAAATAGACTGAGTGCAAGCTTGTGCCTGACGGTAATCTGGTCCTGGGCACATGCTGCCACCTTCCAGCTGCGGAATACTGACCTTCTGTGTTGGATACCAGTTTCTGCGTCTCTGTAGAATGTAAACTACAGGCTGAGCTGTTGCAATAATAACTAAAAGCAAAATGAAAGCGCCTTTTGTACGTCGATCGGTCTGAAAACAGAGGTGCTCCTCCAGTGAGGCTGCGGATTAAAATTAGGACACAGTCCTTTTGCCCAGGAGGGTTGCCCTTTTCCCTCGGAGGCTGGCTTCCTTCCAGCTGGCAACCTTGCCATTTGGTTTCTGCACACTCTTCTGTTTTGGTGGGGAGAGAGCTCTGTACCCAACAGAAGTACTGATCCCCTTGCGCCAGCCCAACAACGCGGGATAATGCTGGCTGTGAAACATCTCCAGCACCAACGGCGAGTCCGGAATGCTGTGCGTTACGGTGGGGTTTGGCTACGTACATGCAGCGTGAGCGGTAGAGCGAGGAAGTGTGCTTTCACAAAATGACCACCTTACAGATGCTGAGGAGGTCTCGTCCTCAAAAGCATGAATGTGCTTTGTTTAACTGAAACAGGAATTTTTCATTTGAAATTTTCCTCCTTCTTTTATGTGGGTTTTCTAGCTGTAGAATACATTTTTTAACTTCCAGTGGGCACTGTGAAATGGGAGAAGCTGTACTATGACAGCCATGCTGTAATTATTTCTCTAAATGCTCTTTGTTTTAATAATGCACCTTCGGTGGAATGAATGGGCTTTTGAAGGTTAAACCACTTTGTGGATACTACATGGATACCCAGACTTGAGGAACAGTTCCCGAGTGACGCTGAACTAAAACACCAGGTACACGCTCGGTAACAAAGTCAGTGTGATAGGAACTTTCTCTGAATTCGTAGCATAATGCCCGATTTTTTTTTTTTTTTTTTTTTTTTGTGATAGCTTATTAAGATGAAAATATTTTTGTTGAGTCCCTGTCTGTCCATTTTCAGGGGATTTGTATGTGTAAGCACTTCCCTCGGCTATTTGAGGACCGTAATAAATTAAAAAGCTGTAATAACGGTCTTTCTTTCCTTGAATAAGCATGGCTGAGCATCCAAACGCATTAATCAGCAGCAGCAACAGCCAGGATCAGTAATTATAAAATGGCCTGGTTTTGCTGACTCCGGAACTGGAACAAGCGCTGCAAGTTGGCAGTTCAGCCCTTGTTTGGTATGAGAAAGGACTCAGTTTTCAGATGTGAACTGCCCTTTTTAACTAATGTGACTTGTGGAGAAAATACTGCTTTAAATTACTGTCTTTTGGAAAGCACTTTAAAAAAAAATCCTTTTTTTTTT